CTTTAGTTTCATGGTGATGACACCATTTAGTGATAACTAAGTTTTCTTATATACAGGTACAAATTTTTTAAAAAATGTTTGCTCTTGTCATCTTTTTTGACATGCAGACATTTCTTCTTATTGATATCTTCAATCACTCTACCACTATTGTATATACTCTGTTACTACAGCATATAATATATCTAGATTTTTTGTGATCTTTTGCCTTTTCTCCCTCCCTATCTGTCTTTGATCTTGCCTCTAATCCTATTTAAATCCCCATCTTCTACATAAGCTATTTTAAACCCTGCATATTATTTTTCACACTACCATTAACTTCTTTAGCTTTGTAATCTTAAAGCTCTATGCACCATTCTACTGTTCTGCTTCTGCTGCTAAGTACAATGTTGGCTAGTTGTTCTTCCAGTTTATCTTTCTTTCTTTCTTTCTTTCTTTCTTTCTTTCTTTCTTTCTTTCTTTCTTTCTTTCTTTCTTTCTCTCTCTCTCTCTCTCTCTCTCTCTCTCTTTCTTTCTTTCTTTCTTTCTTTTTTTCTTTCTTTCTATAACCGTACCTTCTTGCTAGTATAAGAGACTGGTTACTCAGTCTTCTTCAAATCCTGGGTACAGACTTTTTCAGATTCATTCTTTAATGTTGCCTGAATCATGTTATTTTTTAAAGGTACAGGATTATGATAAGCCTATTTGCTTTGATGAGTTTTAGAAAATGAATAGATTAAAATCTATCAAATTGTAAAAATAAAAAATTGGTCTTTTTTTTTCCCAGCTGAAAATTGTTGATCAATGACTCCATACAGCTTCATCAAGATCATGATGGAAAAAGAGAGATATGGCAAGAAGATGGGGCTGGCCATTTGTGGAATGGCAGGGCTGATGGTTGATCTCTAAAGCCTTCGTATTCATCTCTAAAACCAGGTCACTAGAACTTCACTAGACTTGGGCTCTGACAAGTGCTACTGAATGCCAGGGTCATATACAATAAGACATCTTCATCCATGATTTGATTGTGGATGAGAAAGCAGTCTGGCATGTGTAACTGGAAAGTGAACGAGAACCTAGATAGGATCCAGGAAATGGGCCTTCCCTATTGCAGTGGAATGGCATCTTTTTAGAAATCTAGACATATCCCACAGTGATCTTATTTAATTTCAGTTGACTTAGTTTTTTTCCCTGAGTTCTGCCCTTAATGTTGTTTGGTTTACATATTTTTATTGTGTGGATGGGACTAGTCTGAATCCAGAAGCACTTAGCAATATTAACTGAAAAGGAAGCAAGATTGGGCAGTTTGAAAGTTTGCATTTTGCTTTTTCTGGGTGAGAAGTGCAGAATACTTTTCCCTGCAGATAAATACAGTACTATTTGGTACTCGAGTTTTCAAAGATTGAAAACTATTAACATTTCAAAGACATAAAGAAAGCTTTTGAAGGCTGAAGAATTTCTGCAGGGACACACTCAGGACATAAATCTTTTTGATGCAAAATCTCCTTTGCTTCAGAATTTATTGTGTTCTTATAGTGAGAGTGCAATAACAAATACTAAGGCATAAGGTAGGTTCAGAATATAATTACTAATTAGACCTCAAATCCCTTATGTATGTGGCCAGGAATCATTGTACTGTTTGGCAAATTATAATTTAATCTACGGACAGCCAGTTTGGTATAGTGTTTAGGACATCAGGCTAGAAGGTGTGAGAATGTGCGTTCTAGTGCTGCCCTAGGCACAAAGCTAAATGGGTGACCTTGGAATAGTCACTTTCTCTCAGCGGTAGGAAAGAGACAATGGCAAACCATTTCTGAAATCTTGCCGAGAAATCTACAGAGACTTGTCCAGCTGTTCTTGAAGAATCAGACACAACTGGAACAGAAAAAAAAAATCTCTATCACAGTAAAATGCAAAAATGGAAACAGATGAGATCAATAATAACTATTTGTAGAATAAATTACTGAAATTAAGGGTTGCTCTTAGTAAGTGTAGCTGCAATGTTTTATTATATAGTCATAGTGTAAACCAGTCGTAATCAACCTGGCCCCTACCTCCCACTAGTTCCAGCTTTCATGGTGGGCGGTAGGAGTTTTGTCCCCTACTTTATAAATCACCATTACTGTGGAACCAGTGGGCGGTTAGAGAAAACTTTACTACTAACAGAGATACAAAAGTGGGCAGTAGGTATAAAAAGGTTGACTACCCCTGGTGTAAACCATGATCGGGAAATTCAACAGAATTCGCTTTTACAAAAGGAGCTATCTAATTGTTTGCCCATCCTAAAGAATCTGGAATCAGATTCTTATGAGGCAGTGCTGCTTCTTGTTTTCCCCCTTGAAAGGAAGCACATAATTTCAAAAATATAAAGGATCTGAATGCAAATGAAGCAAATGATGGACTTTTGTAACAGGGCAAAGAGAGCTATCCATTAGAAGAATTTTTACTCTGGAATGAATGTATATTATTCCTTTGTATATGAACATGCAGTTTCAAAGATATGCAGTAAAGAAAAAGCTGTACACCTAAATTACACATTAATTTAACTACCATTAAGTCTTGGGCTGAGCCAAAGCTCTGCAAAATGAAATGAGGACACTATTTCAGCTTTTGAAAGCAAGGAAATAAGTATTTGCATGAGCTGACGATTTACAACACAGTTAAAAAACCACTCCCACATTCAGGAACAAAATACTTAAAATTGTGTGTTCTAAATGCATTTGTTCCATTAATTTTTTGTAAGTCAAGAAAACTAAAGTGATAGAGGAGGAGGACAGAGGAGGAGGAGGAGGAGGAGGAGGAGGAGGATTCAATTCTTCCATTCTGAACAGCATCCCTAAATAAAATCAATGTATTTTGCAATCAAAGGACACTATGTCTAATCTGAATGTTTTCTGAATGTGCTGATTTTAACTTCCAGAATGCTAAGCCATTGCTGCATATTACAGGAAATGAACTGCATACATTAGGAAGACACCAACTGTGGGATCCTCAGTGAAGCATACTTGTATACAGCTACTGAGGTTCCAAATGAACTGTGAAGTTCCTATTATCAGAACTGGGTTTAGACTAATACTTCCTAGAAAGCTGTCTTTATTCCCACCTGGGTCCACAGAATAAACCTCTTCTGGATCTGCAGAAACATTTTAAAGCAAAGTGTGATTTTATTGTGATTCAAAGAAAAAATTAAAAGACCGCTGGAGATGAAGGTGCCCATGGGTGTAGTCTAAAAACAATCTCTATACTTTAGCCAACAGATCCCGACTTTGACTGAGCACTTTGTGTCCTACAGAAAGCAAAACCTTTCTTTGACATACAGTTTGAATTGTTTCATTCTGTTAAGGTTTAATGCTGCTTTCCACAATAACTTTTTGCCCCAGTGTTTTAGAACTATTATTCATCATATGTGACTCCAAAAATAACTAGAATAAGTGATAAATGTTCTACAACAGCTTTACCAGCATGAACTGAACTGTAACATTATGCGACCTAAGCTGTTGAACTATGAAACTACTAATCAGTACAGTAAATCAAAGAGGAAAGATAATATGTAACTCATGCGCAATATGTTTTCACAATGGGGTACTATAAATCATGAACAAATTGACACATCCTGAATGTACATCTAGAAATACTTATACCAATTTGTAAAGTATTCTCATTCCACACTAAAACTAGACTTAACCTTTATCACTTTTATTATCAGTCTTCTGACATATAGGTGAAGAATGATGGAAATATTCTTGCACTGCTAAGGAATAAAGAACTAAGAATATACATAGGATATTTTTTAGTCATGCAAAACAGATTTAATACACAAATAGCACTACCAATTATGAAGGAAGAGCAGTTTTTATGTAGAAAATACTATTTTACCATTGGTTTCCTGCAAATTGATGCAATTTATTAAACCTTGGTTGTCGTTTGTTTTTTAAAAAACATAAATTACAAAAATTGGTCAGTTTATCTTATCAAGAGTTGAGACAAGATATTATTACCAAATTAAAGAGAACACTCTTCTCCCATACACAAAAAATGTTAAATACATTTTTCATACAAATGCAACTAGTCTAGATGAGAAGGAAGCCAATGGGAATTATTAATCTAATAATTCAAACTCAAAAAAGAAACATAGAGGTGTGGAAATGGGGAAATGTCTGTGGACATCGAAGCTTGAAAAAAAAACCCTTGAATTTAATTTTAATACAATTTTTATAATTTTATGTACTATAGAAAAATATTTATTTTTATTGATAAATGGTGAAGCTTGCATTCAATTGGCTGTATTTCACTGATTTGCTTATAATGAGAAAGTACCTTTAGATCTATCCTTAATGACTAATATGTCAGGGAGTTTGACTAAATCACCAATAATCAATAATTATAAGTATAGTTGTTATAGTGTCTTCTTTTAAAGCGATGAGATTAACAAGACCAAGCAAAGATGTAGAATGATGACAGATGCGAGAAAGAGAGAGTGTGAGGGAGAGAACAAATTAACTCCATAATCAAAATGTAGCAAAATGTTGAGCTCTGGGCAGACAGATGAATAGAGAGGTTTAAGTGGAACGAATTAAAACTAATACTTGCCAGAATTACTGTCAAATGGCAAGTATGTTCAAGAAATCTGGTCTAATGCAGAACATAACTGATAAGGGGAAATGTCAACAAGAGAAGTGCACGTTTCTCCCATCCCAAATTTGCTTAAAAGTCCTATAGGCACACACAGCATGCAAACAAACATAAAATAAGTAAATCTGGACTATTTATATATAACATTATATAAATGTTTTTGAATATTTTATTTTTTTCTGAAGCCTGCTTATGTAACATTTTTCTTTCATTTTTTTCTCTGCAGCCTCCCTCCTGCAAATCTTCTCGATGCAAACTCCCATTTCTTTTTAGTGTACTTTAATCTGAAGGTGGTTATAGAATGAAAAGACAACTGGACCTCTCTATTCGGCTAATAAGTATTCTTCCGTGGGTGGGAGGGATTAATAATATTAGGACAAAAAATTCCATACCTGCTTTGTAAATCAGGAAGATGTAATTCACCTACATAATGGGTGGCTGATGAGAGGTTGACAATCCGAGCATTGTGGCTATGTGTTCCTGATTGCTTCAGTATATCCAAGAGGAGATTTGTCAACAAGAAATGTCCCAAGTAGTTAATACCAATGTGTTCTTCAAACCCATCTTCTGTCTTCTTTTCAGGTACCAGCATCACTCCAGCTAAAGAGTTGAACAATAAAGTGAACTTTGGTGGGTACATGCCTGATTTTGTTTCATATAGCCAAGTAAAATTTAAGAAAACTCCTGTATTCTTTCCCTATGGCATTCAATAAATCTCACAGAAAGTTCATAAACATCCATAAAGCAGCAGCATCTCATTTTCAACTATTTCAGTATCACAATTAAAATAAAGCATACTACATGACATAAAATTTAAAATATAAAATAGAAGATTAAAGTATGTACAAATTAAACAGATGTTGCCCAGAAACTAGAAACATTGTGTTCTGTCATGCTACCATTAAGTCAAGTGTACACTGATGGGGGCACAAAGAGCAGTGTTATTGTCTGCATGTCACCACAATCACAAAGAGCAGAAGCAACTGGATAGTCCCATTTGTTCAGAGTATATCTGGATCTTGTGGTATTCTGTGCAATCTATTCAACGATTTCCCAGTGTTTCCCAGCTTTTTTCCCAGTACAGATTCATCAGATGTATCAAAAGTCAATTTCTAAACACAGAAAATAACTGACCAAGCCTATCTCCACAGAAAAACAAACAAAAGCTAAAACTAACAAACCAACAGACAAATTATGGATTTGTTTTATGCAGTAGGAAGGCAATTAAGAAAAATATTTGTTTAAAAATTCATGACTGAATTTGAAGCAGTTTTATTCTTATACACTCGTATTTGTTTGTGGTGAGACAACTCTCAAGATTAGAACTCTAAGGTGACTTGATTATTTTGTTGTGGAAGTAATTCAAATGGTAACACCTAGTACATTTATAAATTAAACAATTAAAGATTCAAGTGCCAAATATGGAAATTAATTCAAAGATATACAGAAATAGTCATTATTTTTATTCTTTGAAAATGCAAAATATTTAGAGAGAGAAACTTAGTGTCTGTAATGGAATGTGTGGGTGATCTTGGGGAATGAGAAGAAGACATGCTGTCTAGGAAACAATCAGACAAGAGAGGCAGAAGCCCCCAACAGCTTAAGAGCTGGAGGGTGGGAACTAAGAAAGGACTCCACCTAATGAATCAGGCAGTTAAAAGTGATGTGGGAATTTGTACTTTCAGACTTGCAAGTTCCTATTAATGTAACCTTACAGTAAAGTAGAATTAGTTCATCTAGTTGTGTGTCTTGTCTGATTTACCTGGGAGAGCTGACAGTAGCTGAGTTGTTTAAATCAGGCTTCTCAGTATGATTTGTTGAAAAAAATACTCAGAACATCCTCAAATTATTGGAGTATCTGGAAACTGCTTTTAATTTATTGCAGTTGTAGTTTAATACCATTGAATAATGTGTTTTCAATCACAATATGAGAGGATACACCCAGTGAAGCTGGAATTTGAGAGTGATATATAAATGTCATGGGTGAGCTTTTCATAACACAGAGACTGATAATGTCCAGAACAGCGAGGGTTATGCAAGATACATTCTAATATGTAGGATGCAGGCACTGGAGCAATACAGGATTTAACTTCTTACAGGCAACTTATTCTATACACTTGATCAGTAGCTAAAACTATCTAGGGGTATGATTCCTGGCCACGACTGTCCATACATTCAGTTGGGTCATGTATTTTCTTTCCCAAGCTTTCAGTTTGCAAGGCAGATTATAGTTTTGGAACTAGTAGATACCTTTCAAATATCAATTGCTCAGTCATATTTTGTTTACTTTTTATATACTTCCCTTGGTTGCCCTGATTCACAATCAGATTTTTCAATGTTATATTGCTGAAACCCATGTCTATCAGCTTTTAGACCTGATATTTGGCAGTCATTATGTAGTCCATAATGATGGTGTGTGATTATCATGACAGAATATTTTATCAATTATACCATCTTGGAAATTCACTTATGAATTACAGATGAAAATAAATAAGAAGTATAATGTTGTATTCACCGAGCATGGCACATTGTTTAAGCTTCTGCTGCCCAGAGTCTTGATAGATGTTCAACTGACTTTATATCCATGAACTGATCTTACAGTGGGGGCTGCAAATGTTCATCTTACACTTAAAGCTTTATTGGTCATAAATTAACTTATGCATAGATTATTGCATTAGGATTCCTGATTCCTTTTTCCAATTCTATTTGAACTGTTTTGGATATTATATCATGTGTTATTCCTATGATTCATAATATCATAAACTCTTTACTGGCTTCTACACAGGTGGGTCAGATCAAGGATGCAAGATTACACATTTCTTGTAGTTTCTAAGATAAAGTACCAATGGATTTTCCTTTAATTGCTTGTTTACATCTATTCTTCTTTCCACTTTTTACCACAACCTCTCACAATATCTGAACTAAGCTGTGTTCAGACTTGTCTTTAGAATCTTCCATTTGCCAAAGTTCAGATATTGGTCTGCTCTTTTTCTTTCTATGCTCATGTTCATCTATCATGTTCCTCTGGTTGATCATCTTTCTGTTTCTTCTTCCAGGGCACTGATTTCCAGGATTGAGATTAAGGGATCAGGACCTTGACTCATGATGCTGGAATAAGATCCATCCTTCTCTTTACCTCTGTAAAATTATAATGTCCATAATTTCTCCAGGTAGTATGGAGCTAGTCTAATTTTCAAGTTAATATTTGTTTTACAGTAACTATGGATATACATGTATTCTGCAGTATTATAGAGCATTCATTTAAAACTGCATGGTCACTGTTTAATTGTAAATATCAGTTTTACTGATGGGATAAGTTAATTTTATGGATAGAATTTTATAAGCCGTGTGTGATTTTTTTCCTGAACTACATTGTGCCTTGGTAAAAATGCATAATAAAGAAATATTATGAGAGTTTTCTTTTGATTGTTTTTTCTGCCATATTTTTTCCATAGCAGCTTGGAAAGAAATGTCAAGTACTAAATTCAGTAATAGCACAAGAAAGCTTTTTGCTAGTAAGTGCCAGACTTGTGGTTGATCAGCAAAAAAACTGCATTGTACTTAATGAAACAAGTAAGTGTGGTAAATTTGAGGATTCAAAAATAATAGATCAAGGTGTTTATTGTATCAAAGTTTTATAGCTGAAGCTCTCTGGTCATGTTTTTTAGATCATCAACAGCCTGGAGCCAGCTGTGTAGCATATTCTCAGACCTTTAAGGTCTCAGTTCAAAGTATTTGGGTTCTTTAGCTATCCTTTTATATGTTTTTACAAGAGATGCAATATAAACATTACCTGGAGGTGATTGCTGACATTCTTTATCTGTGGCCAGGTCATAATACAGATAGTGACCTACCACCAGAGGTATTTTTAAGACATTATCTTGTGCTCCAACACACAACTTCCAAAAATTATCTTATGACTTTATCTTATAAATAACATGGAAACCCAGGCAGTTGACCTTCTGCCAAAGACAAGCTTAACATGGCACACTATTTCCAATATATCCCTGTTTTCCCTCCCTTCTACAAGTGTCAAATTAGGAAGCTGATGTTTTTCTCATTATCTTAATTATTACAAACAATATACATAAAAGGCTCAAATTGAAAGTGATTACATATGAATTACAGCAGCTTGTTAATTAACTCTTCTAACTATTTGTACGGGATGTAGAAGAATTTACAATATAATGCTGCAATCTGCAGTTTTCTACATAAAATCCAAGTATAGAGGAATTGTAGTCTAAATTTTTCAAATGAGAAAAGTGCACTATAGCACTATATTGCTTCATCAGTTCTTATGCAGTGATATTACTGCATGAAAAAATATGGTGATTTTTAGTACCACTATTTGGTATGATCTATACAATGTAATCAGAGTGTTTTGCTTCTTGCAGCTGCCTTTAATTTTTTTTTTCCTGCCTGTTGGTTTAATCTAGGTGAGATAACCTTTTTGAGCAAAAAAGCAGATAATGTTCCCATAGAGCAGTGGTTCTTAACCTGGGCGATAGTGGCCCCCAGGGGGCGATTTCATTTTTCAGGGGGGCGATGGAACAAAAAGGGGTGACGTGGGGGCAAAGGAATGGAAGGGCGGTGATATGGGGGCGATGGAGCAAGAAGTTTTGGGGACACTTTTGAGACTTTTTTCATATAGTTGACCACTGTATATCTGTCATACAAAAACATCAGATCGCTTGGTATTAGTGGATTGAACTGTGTTTTAAAATGTTCCTCCAGCTAGCTTGAGTACAGAAAGCCGTACATATGTGAATACGCATCGCTCATCTTCATGCGTGTTGTGCAGCAGCCTCTATCACTCTACCCATTAAATTTGTCGCTCTGATTTTTGTTGCTTTCCTTCTGTAAAAATTTACTTTGTGTCTTTTTAACCCTTTTTACAGTGTGTATGAATATATATTTTCCTCAAATCCTAATTTAGTTTCAGAGTTTTTGTCTTGAAATTCTTAGTTCCTGCATTGCGGTTTGTTCTTATGCCCTTTTTATATTTCTTTTTGCATCTTAAAATTAACTTGTAATTAAATCATTAAATGTTACTGTTTTTTTTCGGGCATTTCATTCTCTTGCAATTGAATTTTGTTTTCAGTGGTCATTGCATTTAAGTGTCTTGAATAAATAAGATAATAATGAAATACATGTATCACGGAGTTTGGGAGTAAAGCGATGGGTGGCATCAGAATTTTTCACACAGTTGAGATATGGGAAAAAGACTGGAAATAAATTATTTGCATCGATATGTCCTGATGACAATTTTAAAGAAAACAAAAAAGTGTTTGCATAAATTGAAGAAATATTTCCCTGTGTTATGATTGAGCGGTTATGTTGGGGGAGGGGGGGGCGATGATAACTTCCTCAATGGCTCAAGGGGGCGATTCTTTCAAAAGGGTTAAGAACCCCTGCCATAGAGCACTGAGAGCCACTCCACAGCTGCAAAATAATTACAAAAACATATTTTTACTTATTGAGGGGCATCTATTGTTTCTAGAGCTGATGACTATATCTGGTTGTCTTGGGGGCAACAACACATACCCAACTGATTTTTAAAACAGTATTAATAGAGTTAGATGGAAGACAGAAAAAGTGAG